ACTTCGATGGTGTATGCTCGTACATATCAACACAGCGATATTTATCAGCGTTAAATTATACGTGTACACGCGAGAAAAAATAGTTTGTACGATGCTGAATCGCCGTTGTTCCATCGTTTCAACAATCCTCTAAAAAATTATAAATCTAACACGGTTTGTGTATACAAAATACACAATATAGTGTGTGTGTGTGTGTGTGTGTGTGTGTGTGTGTGTGTGTGTGTGTGTGTGTGTGTGTGTGTGTGTGTGTGTGTGTGTGTGTGTGTGTGTGTGTGTCCCATTTTAAACAGTTTATTTTAAACAGTCAAATATCTGGAAATCACGGGATTTTAGAAAAAAATGTTTCGTACAAAGGTTTTATGACTTTGAGGAGGACATAAGATGGTGCCATTGATTTGTCCTTGAATAGTCATTTGAAGATCACATAAAGGTCACCTTCAATTTCTTAATTAGAAACCCCCATTTTTCATTGCATATTCTTGCAGCTTACTTCGAGAACTTTTCAAAACACTATAATAAAGTATTTTTTCATTAAGCGCTTTTCGAGTTACGAGGCTTGAAGTTTACAGTACCGCCGGCATTAACATTGTCCAAGGTGTACCGCGTAAAGGTTGCACGGTTAGATTTACACACACACGTGTGTGTGTGTTTGCGCTCGCACGCAGATAGAAACGCGGCGCAGAAATGACGACCTCACGGCTTGTCATTTCTGCGGTATTTTTTTATTCCAAACTGCTCTTCAACTGCGTACCTTACAGCAACTATCAATCATTTCAATGGAAGAGTAATCTGGCATCATTCCGACAGATGCGAGATAATTCTGTTCTCTAAGAGACCGTTCTGAACAATTAAACTTGCGACTACGTGTCACAACTCTTCCATTACCGTCGTACTTATCGATAAAAGCACGTTACTCCAAAATTTTTATGATCTGGTCGTTCCGATTGAAGAAGAGTTGTGACGACGCCAGATTACTCTCCCACTGAAATTGTCGATATTCTCTTGACACTCGGAGAATGTCGACACAATTACAGAAAAGCGGCGTTCAGCTATCGCTTATGATACCCAAATCAGCAGCATCCCAATGCTTCCGCTATTTTTTACATTGAACGAAGAGCTCGACGTGGGTAATTTATTCGCTATAGACAACGCCGGAATCGCCAAAGTTGATGAAGTCGATGCTCGTACCATCGCTATATTGGCGATGGTACACAATGATCCTCAGATCAGTTTTCGACAGATCGAACGTGAACTGGGGATGTCCCGATCGATTGCGACCTCGTGAATCCTGCGGACTTGTCAATATCGGCCATACCACATCATGCTCGTTCATCAGGCGTTATCTGATCAAGATATGGTAAATCGGGTTGTGTTTTGTTTCAGTGGGCGGTTCAACAAATCCGATACCAATCTGATTTTTTTGACTATATCCTTTTCAGCGATAAAGCCACTTTTCATAGCAACGCTTCTGTAAATCGCCACAATATCCACTACTGGACCGCTCAAAATCCACATTGGACACGCTAGTTCGACCACCAGCACCAGTGGAAGTTAAATGTGTGGTGTGGATTTGTGATTGGGCCTTATTTTTTCCTCGATGGACCCATCAATGGTTAGAAGTATTTGGAATTTCTCCAAAATGACCTCCTTGAAGATGTCGACTTGAATACTAGGCGAAGGATGTGGTTCCAGTAAGATGGTGGAAATTTCTCAAAGACGTTTTCCGCGAACGACCAACGATGATAGTCGACATGATGAACTGCATCGTGGCTGCCTGCAGAAGAATTTCTGCACATACTCTGCACAATACAGCGAATTTTAGGTGAGTTTGACTCTGTATCGAGCGGCAGAACGGCAACAATTTTGAACAACTTCTGTAAAGTACGCAGTTGGAGAGCGGTTTAGATAAAAAAATACCGCAGAAGTGACATCCGTGAGGTCCGCATCTCCATCCGCGTGCGAGCGCGAGCACGAACACATACACATAAAACAGAGATGTAAATCCAACCATGGAACCTCCACATCGGGGTACTCCTCGGGTAATGCTAATGCCGGCGATATTGTAAACTTCAAGTCTCATAACTCGGAAAGTGCTTAATGAAAAAACATTTTATCATAGTGTTTTGAAAAGTTCTCGAGGTAAGCTACAAGAATATGCAATGAAAAATGGGAGTTTCCATTTAAGAAATTAAAGGTGACCTTCACGTGATCTTCAAACGATTATCCAAGGACAAACCAATGACACTATCTTATGTCCCCCTCGAAGTCATAAAACTTTTGTACGAAACATTTTTGTCTAATCCCGTGATTTCCAGATATTTCACTGTTTAAAATAAAATGGGACACCCTGTATATATAGAGTCCCAGACTTACCATAACAACCGTTAATGGCAGATTCCTGAGCTCATTTAACGAAAATCTTAATACCAAAATGTCGAGGCTGCTATAGTTGTTGATCAAGAAAAGTTTGAAGTTTACCAATTAGATTGTTAAAATTTCGTGCGTTCAAGGACATGGCATATTGAAAGGGCTCTTCCACAACACTTTACTCAACTCGATCGAAATAATAATACTTGAAATTATTGTTCACTTTATTTCTTTGTACATTGTTCGCAAGATTGACGAATTTCGGGATGATGAAAAGGATGAGAGAAAATCAATACAATTGATACAAAGTATGGTCTGCTGCGATATGAAAAAAGGCGAATATTTTATTTGTGTTCCTTTAAATAAATAAATAAAAATATATTTCCAAACATGTTGAAATTTTCTTTTCTTACCGACTTTATCTATCTTATTGACATTTCATGCAGCAGACCATACTTCGTACCAATTGTATTGATTTTCTCTCATCACAAAAAAAACGTCATTTGTCAATGGCACGTTTCACATGAATGCTTTGACAGTTCGACGCGCATCGCGTTTCTATACGACAATTACTATTATCAGCCTAAAATTCGTCAATTTTGCGAACAGTGCGCAAAGAAATAAAGTGAACAATATCAAGTATTATTATTTTTATTGAGCTAAGTAAAGTGTTGTGGAAGGGTCCATTTGATATGCGATGTCCCTGAGCGCGCAAAATTTTGACAAGCTGATTGGTGAACTTTAAACCTTTCCCGTTTGAAAACTATAGCAGCCTCGACATTTTGGCATTAAGATTTTCGTCTTCAAATAAATCTGCCATTAACATGTGTTACGGTAAGTCTGGAACATCCCTGTATGTATGTAAATAATATATTATACAGGGTGTCTCAATAGCTATTAGCACCTTAATATCTTTGAATCTATAAGGTTTAGAGAAAAATGTATATAACCAAAATTGCACGGTACAAAGGGGGCTATCATATGACGATAATAATTTTTGTCCAGGTAGAGGCGCTTCGGAGATTTCAAGGTCAACTTCGTGTTTTTAAATAGAATAATATGTTTTTTTACATAATATGATTTCTCTAATTATTCTGCATATAAAAGTATTAAGGTAAAGATATCGAAAAATCAATAGTTTACGAGATATTTTACACTTTATTCTGAAATGAAGTGACGTTTATAAAAAATGTTCGAAATGATAGCCATTATTATCAATGCAACACTGTATTCTTCTGATTATTGACTGGTTTGCTCTTTTAATAGCATCGGGAGTTATTAACGTACAGGCTCTAATAATTCGTTGTTGCATGTCTTGAGATGTAGTTGGGTCATCTTTATAGACCATGTCCTTCAAGGTTCCCCATAAAAAAAAATCCAGTGGTGTCAAGTCTGGTGAACGAGCTGGCCATACTACAGGACCCCCACGTCCAATCCAGCGATTTGCAAATTTTTCATTGAGTTTGTCTCTCGCAACGTATTGATAGATATCTCGTATTGATAGATATCTCGTATTGATAAATCAGTTAATCGTGCAAGATGTATTCATTTGAAGAACAAATTGACATGATCGTCATTTACTGTGAATGTCAAAAAAATTCATTGCGAGCAAAAAATTTATATGCTGAACGATATCCTAATCGCACTCAGCCTGCGCGTCAAACATTTAAAAATGTGTACGATAAACTTAGACAAATCGGTAGCTTAGATACCCGTAAAAATAAACGTGAAAAGCGAATAACTCATGAAAGGAATGAAATCATGGTCCTCGCAATGGTGGCTCAAAATGAACTTAAAGCCTTTGGTTGAAGTGACTGTGCATTTAAACTAGCAGGGTTATATTTGATGTTTGGACGACCAAGTGTTATCTTTTATTCAGCATTTCAAGAAGGAATACATTCTGAATACCCCAATCTTCCAAGACGACAATTGCCGAGTGCACAAGGCTAAAACCGTCTGTGATTGGTACGACAAATATTCAGAGAGCTTCTCATACCTTGACTGGCCAGCAAAGTCCCCATAATTATGTCCTATTGAAAATCTGTGACTACTTGAAATAAAAAATAAAACGTCGATACAGACATCTGATCAATTTCGCACTTCAAGAGCAGCTGATGATCGAGTGGCTTCACATTGATGTCACCTACATCTGCACATTTATGGAGTCCATGCCGAAGAGAATTGCTACTGTGATTTGATCAAAAGGAGAAATAACGCGATATTAAATACGCTATTATGCTAATACAATATTAAATACGCTACTAGTAAGTGGGGTCTAATTTTTTGTCCGGTGACAAAAAATTTTGAAAGTGTCGTTTACTGCAGTCTACTTTGTAAATATTCTTGTTAATTTTACGGAAATTTATTAATACATTGATTTTAATAAACATTAATAAACATAACAACATTTAATAAACATAAACATTAATTTGTATTTTGCTTAAATATAATACTTTTAATACAAACTGATTAATTAATTATAATCATATTGAATTAAATTTTTATAATATCTTTATTTTTTAATAACTAAATATATGAAATAATTTCTCTTCTTATATTTATGTATTTTTTTCTTTTTTTAGGTTCAATCAACAACATCAAAGCCGATAGAACAAGCACCTGAAGAAGATGAAATAGAAGGCGAAGACATGCTTGAAGAAAATGAGGAGCACAAAGCTCCTACGACAACAACTGAACCGTCTACAAAGAAACTTCGAAATAATAGTGGCGTTAGACCCTTCAGGTAATCACTTTGTTAAACATTTTGTAAATATTTTACAACACAAGAGAAGAAATTTCAACACATATGCGCGATTTAATTTTAGATCTAACGAGGATCTTTTGGCTGCCTTAAAGAGGAGAAGAGCCCAGACCGGATCTAGTAGTCATCCACGAGAAACTAGTACGATACATTCTGCGGTAGAACACACTACAGCCAAGTCAAAGTAACGCAACATGGCAAATAGAATATGTATTTATATTTCACAACGAACGTACCAAACAATTGCATATGTTTCAGAGCTGTCACAAACAGTCGTAGCAAAGCCAGCACAAGTGGCGAGACAAAAACGTCAGGTCGTGCTAGATTCGGTGGAAGAGGAAGTAAAACTGTTCAAGAGGAAGTCGAGGAGACCCAGCGGGAGGAAATCCAAGTGAAACCCAAAGCCAGCTCCTATCGCAGGAGTGGTTAAATTAAATGGATTATCAATCTGTCTAAATTTATTGATTTCTTAGAATACGAATTCTACGACGATCTATCAAAACGCTTAAAACTGTTACTTTTCACACTGTAAAATGTAAAGATTCTATAAAACTCGAATTCTTACAATAAATGCCGCGAATCCCGAGCAAAAGCTCAATTTCTGCACGAACTTTAAATACAATTAATACTAAATAAAGATTGTAATAAAAGACCGTGCACGATTCTTATGGAGAAACCGTGTTTGGTCAAATTGTTTAAATTTTTGATATGTTATAGTTCGTGTGTCTTTTATCAAAAAACTTAATGAATAAAATCCTCATATGTAAAGTTTTTGAGTTATAGATATTTGAACATCTTTTTCACAAGATCCGTGCTTTATATGCTAGTCTAGCTTGTTATATATACTTGCCTGTGTATGCATATTTTTGTGTGCATGGATATCCATAGATGTTAATGCGTGTATGCTACTTTTATTTATTGATGGAAGTTGGTGTACTTATGGTCGGCTGCTTCACTTTAGCGCTACGACACCAATATTCTCAGCGCTTGGTCGCTAGCCGGCAGGTATGTACGACAAACTCGAGTAGGCAATCATACAAATGGATCTTGTGAAAAAGACATTCAAATGCCTATAACTCAAAAACTGTATATACAAAGGTTTTGCTCAGTGAGTCTTTTGTTCAGAGATATGAGAACTATAACATATTAACAATTTAGACAATTTAACTGAACAAGGTTTTTCCATAAAAACCGTTCTTTTTAACTCAAATCATATAAAGACATCTCATCTTTCTCGAAAAACGGCAGTTTTGTTCACATCTCGCCATATGGCATTAAAAGCATAAGCGATTAAAGCATTCAATTGAAAAGAGAATGCTTATTGTTTATTATGTAAAGCATGTTAATCGGAGAAGAAATCATTGATAACACTACATATACAGGGTGAGTCATTTTAAGTGACGCATTTTTTTCGTAAACTAAGACTTGTATCAAAAAATGTTTTGTACAAAAGTTTTATAACTTCAAGGGGGACATAAGATGGTGCCATTGGTTTAACCTAGAGTGTACACGCCAAGGTTATATGGAGTCAACTTTGTTTTTTAAATGGAACACCCCATTTTTTATTCCAGAATCTAATAGCTGGTGTCAAGAGCTTTTTTAAAACACTATAATGAAGTTATTTTCCATTAAGTACTTTTTGAGTTATGAGGCTTGAAAGTTACAGTATTTTGACATAAAATACAAAATATCTTGTAAAACATTCAATTTTCGGGAATCTTATCTTAATACTTTTATACACAAAATAATGAAAGGAATCAATTGGTATAAAAAAACAACTTTGGTATAAAGAAAAAAATTAATGTGTCACTTAAAATGACTCACCCTGTATATACATATATAATTTTCCTTTCGTCCTTAAGTATCGACCAATGCATGCATGCTGAAGAGATGATAGAAAAAGTGATGTGTACATAGCAAACTACTGCCGTCCGTCAAGTACTTAAATCAACCATTATATAAATATAAATTAAATGTGAGACAATAAAGTTTCTGAAAAAAAGCGATTCTTGATTCTGTTCTTGTATTCTATGTAGTCTTTCAGTTATCTTTGTGTAACACATTTTGCTAAAGCAATATGTTATCATTAAAATTAACTTCTATACAATTACAAATTTTATATATAATTTTTCTGTGATGTACGTTAAAGTTCAAACTGTGATAACAAAATTTGGAATGCAAAAAATTTAAATGTAATATTTATAATTATAACAGAAATACTAGGATGTATAAAAAGTACCAGAATCCCAGAATATCTCAAAAAATATAAGTTTTATAAAAAAATGTTTTAGATAAAAGTTGTAGGATTTAAAAAGATGTAGTTACTGATCTTATCAGTTTGACCTTAGGTGGAGACGCTTCGGAAATTTGAAGGTCATCTCTCATTTTTTTTTAATGAAACCATCCTAATTTTTCATATAAATCGATTCCTCGCAATATTCGGCGTAAAAAGTTATTAGGGTAAGATGGCCAAAAATTGAATGGTTTACGAGATTTTTATATTTTAATTTGACATAATTTCACATAAACTATAAAATATCTCGTTAAATATTTATTTCTCAATTATCTTACCTGAACATTTTTATGCACAAGATAATGAAAGGAATCGATTAGTGTAAAAAAACAGTTGTCTTTAAGAAAAAATATGATATATCATTTCAACTACATAGTTTTGACCACGGTCCCGTTTGACACACGGTGCTCAACGATTTATTTTTATACGATTCCACGTGGGTTTGCAACTTTTCACTCGAAACGAGGTCGAGCACACATCAACCGGTGCTTCAGATGCGAAACGAGGTTCATAATTCCACGTGGGTTTGCAGTGGTCAATAGGGACGATGGTCAATCAGGACGGTGATCAATCGGGACGGTGGTCAATCGAGACGGTGGTCAATCGGAACCGTGGTCAATCGGGATCGTGGTCAATCACAAGGTGATCAATCGGGATGGTGGTCAATACGTAGGCTGCTGGAAAAGTTTCTGTAAACGATATGAAAAAAAACATGTAAAATTCGGTAAATGGCTTTATTGTTTTTCAAAGTATTTATCTTTAAGATCGATACACTTTTGCATACGCTCGAATCAATTTTCGAAGCATTTTTTCCACTCTGAAGCTTAACCTCAGAAATCAGTGTTCGAAATGCTTTAACAGCTGCTTCAGGCGACACAAATCGCTCACCACGCATCTTATGTTTGATGTTTGGGAACAAAAAAAAGTCATTAGGTGATAAATCAGGTGAATGCGGACAATGAGTCATCAATTCAACATTTCTTGAGCATTTCTTTGCACCATTTAACATGAGCTTGTTTTTGAGCTGTCAAATTGTGTGGAATCCAACGACTGCAAAGTTTCCGTACGTTCAAGTGATCATGCAAAATCGTATGTATTGCTTTCATGTCAATGCCTAAGAATGCCTGAATCTCGCGGTATGTCACATGCCAATCTCGCTCAATCATTTCACGCACAGCATCAACATTAATGGCAACAACAGACGTGGATGGACGACCTTCACGAAATTCGTCACTAAAAAAGAGTCCACGCTGGAATTCGGCAAACCAATTATAAACAGTCCTATTGGATGGTGCTTCATCCCCAAAAGCCAAATGAAATCGATCGATGCATTGTTTCGGAGTTAGACTACATTTGTAATTGTAAAAAATTATTGCCCGAAACTTTTCACGCAAAATTTCCATTTTCTCACAAAATAACTTCTTTTAAAATACTGTGCAAACGAAACTAGTTGGCTGGGTACAAACCGTCAACTGAATTATAAATTAGAAACGTCTAATTTTACGGATATGATAGTAGCAGAACATTGGCGCCATTAGCAACGCCGGATCTAGAGATTATGAGGCCCGGGGCTACATTTGTAATATGCCTCTTCCCTTTCCCTTCCATTTTCCTTTAAATAGATTTAATAGTATGAAAGGTTAATGGACATTTCAAAGTCAAAGAACATTTTAAAATATATAAATATATATTTTAAAATCTTTTACAACATACTTACAACGATTTTTTCCTCGCTTTTTCCTCCGCAAATTGTTGAATAACATCATTAAAATCTAAAGTTTTTGTCAACTCACTCTCAATACATAATAATGTAAGTGATGTTAATCTTAGTTGATCCATAGATGTCCTATATTTATTTTTAATATATGCTAATTTCGAAAACGACCTCTCCCCTTCGCAATTTGAAACAGGAATAGTCAAAAATATTCTTAAAACTATATAAACATTAGGAAAAACGTCAGTAATATCTTTTTGCACAATCCATTTCAATAATTCACATGGAGGTGGAATTTTATCTAAAAATGATGTTTTCAGATACGAATGGAATTGAATCATTTCATCCATCATACCAGGATCAAGATCACTAGAATATATTCGAATAAGTTTATCAATGTAGTCATGTAGTTTTTCAGTTTTTATAGTACTTAATTGAGTTAAAAATCCAAATAAGTTTGTAACATGGCTGTATGCTTTGCTTCGCTTTTCAAGTTCATTATATAATTTATCAATAATAATTAAAAACGACGAAGTTCTAAATAATTCACGACCAGATAATCTCTTATTTTCCTCAGTTCTAGTTCCATCAGGATTATTTTTTTGTTATTTTTTGTTTTGATTCATCCGAATATTCTTGACAAACAATACCGCTAATATTTTTAGCATGTTTTTCAATGTCATTAAATTCGTTGCATAAATTATTAATAAATTTTACCAATGATTTAAGCATATTATCGCCAGTAACTAAATCTAACTCAACTTTTTGCAGACATCTGCTAGTGATATCAAAACGTTGAAGTACTCGATACCACAAATACGTCATAAAAGACAGTTTCTAAGTTTTACCTATTTTATTTTTTAACGTATTTAGCTTCATCTCTAGTAAGAATGTTTTCTTCATTATTTGTTAATTCATTAAGTGCATTATATATGCCATCATAATTATTATTTAAAACTGAAGCTGCATCAAATCTGCATGACCATCTTGTAGCTGGCAAATTTTTGAGTGATACTGACATATGGTTTTTTAATATATCCCATCGATGCGTAGAAGCGGAAAAAAAACATATAATTTTTGCAAAAAAGAAAAAAAATTAATTGCACTTAAACATGCGTCTACACTACACTCACCCACAAGATTAAGAGAATGGCCAATGCAAGGAACGTAATAGGCTAATTCATTTTTATTTCTAAAATATGCTTAAAGACCATGATATTTACTTGACATATTACTGGCATTATCATATGTCTGAGCTCTACAGTTAGCAACATCAATACCGTTATTTTTTAGCACAGACAAAACTTCAGAACTTAATGATTCGCCAGTATGACTATGAATTGAAAGAAAGCACAAAAAGCGTTCAATTACAGACCCTTTCGAGCAGTATCTAATTATTATCGTCAACTAATCAACGTAAGATAGATCAGGTGTAGAGTCTACTATTAATGCAAAATATTTGGCTTCTTGAATTTCCGATATGATTTTTCTGAAAAGTTTTCCAGCCAGGAGCTTTATGAACTCTTTACATGTGGTTTTAGAAATATAAGATACATAACCCCGGCCTTTGTTAGCATACGTTTCCAAATGCTTTTCTAAAAACGGATCAAACTTAGCTATAATTCTAATAACCCTAGATAATTACCGTTATTACTACACCTTATGATCTCATTTTCACCTCGAAATGCAAGGCCACGTTCTGTAAGAAAACGAATCACGGCAAGAATTCGTTTTAAAACTTCGGTCCAATAATGAATTTCACTTTCTACCATTTTCGCTAACCTTTTGTTTATTAAATTTGATTTGTTTTCTCGCAGAAGCCAAGATATCATGCAGTTTTTATGTTATTTACTATTTTCATGCGAAATAACTGCTTCTTTTGCTTTTTTCCAATTCGAAAATCCGCCTTTCACAAATTTACTTTCTTTGTTAGCGTTAGTGGAAAATAATTTGCATACGTAGCAAAACACACACTCAGTCGATTCAGAATACATTAATCATTTTCTATCATGCTTTTCACCATTTGCCAACACCCCTGTAAATAGAAAATTAGAAAAAAATCGATTCTGGTCTTTATATTTTCTCAAAGAAGCATGACAGTTAGCATTTTGGTTTTGAAAATATTTATAACCAAGATTTAAATATTTTTGTCTATCACCATCATATATTTTAGAAGGCCATACAGCGGGATCATTATTAATTAAACCTATAAGTAAGATCCCTAACAGTACACGATATTCTGCGTATCATCCCATTTTCATACTCATTCTACTGTGATTATCCGTTAAATACTGAGATCAATTCTATAATATCTTTTGCAGTATTATTCGGTTTTCTTTCGCACGCGTATAATCTGAGGTTTGACTCAAACGTACGGAAGTGATACGTACGCACTTCTATCGCGCGCGTATAATTTCAGGTTTGACGAGACCAGCACTAACTTGCGCCATTTACATATGTAATTCCTTTCCCTGCTTGCCCGGCATCAAGTGACACCACGCAACACCACGTATCCGAGGTTTTATTGATATTAAAGG